AAAATTAAATTGACTACATCAGCCAGGTCAACATGAGGAACTTAAAATATTGGCTTCTGCAGCTAACTCAGTCATCTTCACCTTCATTTTCCTGTTTGTTCATAATCTGGAAAAGAAAAACAAGCTTTCCTGCTTTTTCAGGTCCCAAACGATTTCTCAATTTGGAATGAATTAGTCCAAAGGAAGAAAATATTCTTTCTACACCATCAGAAGAAGCTACTGCTGTTAAAAGTGAGATTATCACTTCAACTGTCTCTGAATCCAAGTGCTTAAGTGACTTCCACCAGTTCACTGGTGTGACTTTATTTCATCATCAGCAAACATTTCTTGAATGGTTCTTATTCCCAAACTGGGTCTCTCTTACGGCTTGCTGCCATTATAGTTTTCCCTTCTAGTGAGAGAATGGTATGGTAGATCTCAAATCAATGAAGGCTACACTCAGAAAGACCTCAAGTTTTCTGGAATATGCTGCTCAAACAGTTTCACTTTTGTTTCTACTGCCTGTCCCCTCCCTTCCCACATTTATCTCCAGCCTTCTTTTCCGCCCCCAGCAATCTTCTATTCATTGAACTTTTTGAAACTTTGCACTTTTAGAGAGAGGTAAGGGATTGACTCTGTGTACACAAATTTGCAGAGGGACAATAGGGTTGAGGTCCGTTATTTCTCACCTCTATATATTTATTTATTTTAAAACATTTTTGCTGTTAACCAGCATATTATCTCTGGAGACACAAATTCACAGTTTGAGAACTGCAAAACTAAGCATCTCTGACGGCATCTTCTAGACTGAGCACTGAGTCCCATTGGATAGATAGAAAGATTAACCTAAATAATCTATACAGAAGCCCCTGGAACCCCATAAGATTGGGTCCCTAATCCATGAACTATTGGAACTCATTTACAAAACTTTCCTTAAACATTACATCAATATAGTCTCATACTATAGAATTAGAATTTATAATCCCTATTCTATGATGAGATATCTTTGAGCTAGAATGTATCTTAATTAACGCTTTCTTTAGATAGGTTTTTTCCTCAAAAAGCATTTTATCAAAAAATCCGATTTAAATCCGATTTTAAAACAATCATTGATTTTTATCCACTCTGCTCCTGCACATGTAAACAAACTTGTTTGTCTCAGGGATTGGCTGAACAAGAAGTAGGACTGAGTGGACTTGTAGGCTCTAAAGTTTGACATTGTTTTGTTTTAGAAAGCAGGGGGGTTTTGGTGAATAATTTGACATTCGTAAATTCAAATTTCATGATAAAGTGATTGCACTACAGTACGTGTATTAAGTGAACTGAAAAATACTATCTTATTTTTACAGTGAAAATATTTATAATAAAAAATAAATAAAGTGATCACTGTACATTTTGTATTCTGCGTTGAAACTGAATATATAGTATTTGAAAAAGTGGAAAACATGCCAAAATATTTAAATAAATGATATTTTATTAACATTGCGATAAATTTTTTTTAATCGGTTGACAGCCTTTGAAAAAATTAACTGGAGCTAGTGATATCTTTGACCATTAGGATCTATTTTTCAATTTGCAAAAAGCTACATCCCACGAAAAGAAACCAGGAGTAAATAAATGGCACTCTCTCAAACCCTGTCAGGGTGATATACACCAATAAATAGCTGCAAATTTTGGTAATCCTAAAATTAAATATCCATTGTAGAAAGACAGAAGCTTTGCAATTGTCTACTACTTTGACAATGTTATATAACAGATACTATGGATATCAAGCTATTTATAGTTTTTTAATACCAGTTTTATGGTACAAGAGAATAAATTATTCTGCTAACCAATCTGAACAGAGGAAGTTTTAATTGATAAATAGCTTGGAGAGCTCATTTCCAGTGGTTTAGAAAACATGTGTTAGATATATCATTCAAAGGGTTTAGTATTTTACCGGGCTGAACTTTGAAATATGGTAAATCCCACCTCTGCTCTGCATTAATATGCCCAACAACCATGTTAGTTTCCCCAAGTACAGCCTCTCACTTTCTAGGGAACAAAGGAATAAGGACACTGCAGAGACAGCATCCCCAATCTCCAAAACAGAAAGTTGCTCTAGTCTACAGGACTTTTCTGATTGATCTATCAGTTACTATAACACCCTCCAGAGGGAGGAAAATCTGGTACTCTGATAAAGGAAGGTTGCTACAACAGTGCCTTCCAAGAGGCCAGTGAACCATGAAAGCTCATCTGTAGGGACTCTGACAAATCCTCCCCCCACACAAACAATAAACTGTAGTCTGAACATATTTTCTCCGCAAGCTAATGTGCAAATATAGTAATTTGATTCTACTGAAAGCATATTAATAAACAAACTGCAAAAATAGTATAGAGATTGTTTCTAAACAAAAATGCACTTACACAATAGTAAAATCAAGTATGGGCTTTTAAATCTCAGCAGATTTAATTTTACTTAGCCATATGTCAATTTATAGCTATAGGTCAGAATGACACTGCTCACATTTTTACAGGCTAGGTCGGAAACTAAGTATTAAAAATACAACTCTAAATTACTGCTAGAATGAACCTAGTTCTACAGATACTGTAAATTCAAGAATTTTCTAGTAAATTGCAGATACACACAATGGAACCAAGTCAATGTAATCAGTTAGTGAACAATTTACTGTACTTAGCATTGTCTTGTTTACTTCTTTAACAAGTTAATAAAATACAGCCCAATTTGACACACAAAATAACATTCAGTCTAAGCTTATGGACCATCTTGCTCACATGTTCTAATCCACTTTTTGTGAAATGAGAAACTGTTTTGCACACTCAACAAAATAGTCTTTATCTCCTAAATAAAACAACAGGAGCAAAGCTGCAGACTTCAGAACACTAAATCGGGTAGCCTCCTTCAATTGTACCAACACTTGTTAAAATATTCTTTGAACGTTAATATAGAATTGATTAGATACCACCCTAAACTAGAAACCTCAGTAAAAATGACAGTTACTTGAGGTTGTTTGTTTTATTAGAATGGACTTCCTGTGGAAGTTCAACAATGAAGGAGGACTTCATTGAAGTACATCTGTTTCAGGTGGCCACCACTGTAATATCTTACTTTTCACAACATTATCTTTGATGGAAAAAAGTATCTTAGCACTTATTCTAAATTTCACAATGAATTCTAAACTTTAGAGTACCCAACTTTCTACACTTCACAAAAGTAGTATTTCAATGCTAAATCAGTCACTGCAAAGATAATATTTATTGCTTCAACCAAGTAAGGTTTTTCCCCCCAAGTAATACACTTTTTATCTCAAATATCATAATGTGAGATATTTTAAAATACAGCTGAGAAAAAACTATTTAGTTTTCAGACTGAATTAGTATCTGAAAGTTAGAACCTTAAGGGCACAACCCTGCACTCATCTTATCTCCACTGTGCTATGTACTCTAAGCAATTCAAAAATTGTTGATTTTACGCCATCAATACCTAGGCATAAAGGTGTGCCTTCCAGATATAGCAGCAGCCTTACCAAAACTGAGGGATCATCAGTTAAGTTAGAACAGTCCTTCAAAATAGCAAATAGTTATAGGACTATCCTGTCAACATTACGATATGAGTAGTCCCAAGATTAAGATTTAACCCAATTAAAATTAAAGGGTACAAAAAAACCTGCTATATAACACTTTAGTCCCGAATAAAAAGAGATAGGCAGAACACACTTCCTAGGTGTAAGGTAAGTCTACAGAACTGTCCCCCAGAAAAATCTTGGAGACAAACAACAACTCTTCTGCCTCCTCAAAGGTACTTTGTTTCCTTTGCTCAGAAGGAAAACAGCAACAAAAACACAGATTACAAATTTCTTTGATCAATCCAAAGCACGATCCAGGAGAAAGATTTTTTTTTAGGACAAAAACTAACCAAAAAAATGTACAAACAATTTAGACTGTGTACAATTAAGTACCACATAGCCTTGAGAGTGAAAAAAACAAACTAAGGACATATAAATAATAGGCTACCATAACATAAGAACAGCCATACTGGGTCAGACCAAAGGTCTATCTAGCCCAGTATCCTGTCTTCCAACAGTGGCTAATGCCAGGTGCCCCAGAGGGAATGAACAGAACAGATAATCATTAAGTGATCCAACCCGTCGTCCATTCCCAACTTCTGGCAAACAGAGGCTATGGATACCATCCCTGCCCATCCTGTATTACTGTATGTATTATACACGATACTAAGAACAACCTAACATTCCATACTCCCCTGGGGGAAAAGCTTAACTGGAATATAGACAAAAAAATTCAAGTGTTGCTCACAGTTATCAAGATAAAACAAATTCAGCTAACAGATTAAGGAAGAACTGAAACTCAGTCCAAAATTCTACCACGTAAAATTAAATGAATGCATCCCATGTTTCTATTTCCCTTATCCCCTGTCCATGCCCACAGCCCCCCCACCCCCCAGCATTCCGACATTTTTTAAATTCCAGTGCAAACGAACTCCGCTAGGTTGGGTCACACTTTCAACTCTTCTACTTGCAGAATAGGACACAGGATGCTTGTCAATTTCACTTGGATCTAGTTGAGAATGCTGGGAAAATAACATGTACAGGAACTCAGGCATAGGTATGTTCTTACACTACTACAAATTAATCGGACAACAGAAAAACAGAAGAGGATTGTGTCTATGCTTGGGTTACTGCACCTACTTAATGGGTCAGAAAAAGCAGCAGAATGAAAGCACTGATGGACGATGACTCCCAGCAGTCACTCTCCTGCTACTCAAGCTAGCAATGGAAGAGCTCACTCTCCAGAAGCAGAGACTATTTCTGTAAGGATGTATTTCGGGGGGGAACGTACAGAAGAGAATCTTAGGGATAAGATGGATGATAGAGTACTTCCAATACAAGTTTTCAAGAAAATGTGTTTATACTGGATGTTCAAAAACACACTCAGTTTGCACAATGTTTAAAAGCACAAATGTAAGGCTTGACTAAACAAGTTGTCAGACAGAAGTAAGCAACCTTAATTTGATTAAAGAAACGAAGTCCTTTTGGCCAGGAAAAAAAAAATCAAAATTGTGAATTCCAGATTCCTTCAAATATAGACTGATGTCTGTTGTAAGGACAAATTGGACCTTTGGACTGTAGAACTAGACAAGACTTGCAAAAGAGTATGATGAAGGCACTCCAATATACAATCTTGTCCCTATAAATAAGAGAGAATGAAGACATTGAGTTAAGGACCAGAATGGGTACTTGCCTTTATTTTTACTCCTGCAAACTCTACCCCTAGAAAGCAGTCTTCTAATGTAAGGAACATTATGGATAAGGCAGAGATCTTTGGGGCTTCATTTCCAATGAAAAGACATATTTTAAGCTGTGTTTTACTTTTATTAGATTTTTACATAAGCAGAGAATGTTCAGCTTATAAGCCACTTAAGTATCAAGAACAATTAATAGCAGTGGTGAAACAAAAGTAGGACAACTTTTCATAACTAAGGGATCCTTAGGACATGTAGGATGGAGAGACATTCATCAGAGGGAGTTCAGCATGTCTTTTGTCCCCTTTTCCTTCAGCTTCTAATTTCTCTTTAAAGAGAATTGCTTCCTCTGCAGACACAAAAACTCAAGATGTATCCTTGTCTCCCCAGGAATCTGCAAGCACTAACTTTAGATACAGAGGTTCTCACTGGTGATGGGGCAAACATTCCCTTCTTCATAAGTTTAGGCCTGATCCTGCAAAGACCAAACACATGCCTTGATTTCAATGGAACCAGTAAATTAAGCTGATCTTTGTAGAACTGAGACCTAAAATTGCATTTGGCTGTGAATATCTAGTATGTAAGCTGAATGTAAATATCACTGATTGATAAACCTACTTTCCAAGACCATCCCACATCTGTAGGCTTTGCATTTAGAGATCTTCGCTATCACAAACTCTACCAAACTCAAAGGAAAGGTAACTATAGCAAGTAGCATCAAGGGCATTTTATACTTAATGAGACAATGACAAAGTAAACAAATCTGAAACTTTTCAAAACTACTGCTTTGTAAAATAAAAAACAACAGGTGATGTCATAGCCCTGGGCCTCTCAATGTTGATCATTTCCATTTAGACCATTTCTTCTCAATAGTCATGGTGTAATGAGCCTGCAACTATAATTAGCATAATCTGTTGAGGAATATGCAACTGAATTCCGGCACTGGGTTTTGACTAATTTCAAGCTGCAAAAATATTAGGACATCGCTGACATTACTGCAGGAAAATTTTTTTCCTTTTAGAAATTCTTACGATAGACAGTGTCCAAGAACACAGAAAGACACCCAATTCAATCAATACAAGAATGGTTAGCAACTACACCCTTGGCATATTTACATGTTCTAACAAATCAATGGATGAGGGAGGGAGTCAACTGATTCAGTCAGGCTATTTCCAAGCACTCTAACTCAAAGAGCAGGTTCAAACTCTCAACCTGTATGGAGCAGATTAAGTCAGGAAACTCAAAACATGGCAAAAGATGAGAGCTTAGACACCAGTGGAGTCTACAGTTAGAAGACGACCTCTTCTAGGAGGAGAGCTGAAGGTGTCTGATGGGCCAGAAATATTTATATTCTTTAGACCATGCTACTGCAATGGTGGAGATAAACAAAAACACATTCAAACCCCAACAGCCAGAACTGAAATAAGTGGGAGCAATCAATACAGATTTCACCCTGTGCTCCCAAACCTTGATGGTCAAGCCTTAAATACTGGTCAAATTGGCTGTCAAGAGCTAGGAGCATGCCTCAAGTCCTCAAAGGCCATCTGGCTACAACTGAGTCTCTTGAAACCAATCCAGAATCCTCCCGCTCCAACAAATAGATTCTACAAAATGGTAAGCCATACACTATCAGATGGACAAAAACCCAGAAAGTGTGAAAACTTGTTAAAATATTAGTTTATTAGTTCAGGCTAATGTTGAAGGTGAAGGCATGTTTTCAGAGAAAAACGAGAAACTTCAAAAATAAAAGCATGGTAGAGCATTTAGGCCTGGTCTACAATAACAAGGTAAGTCTATCTAAGTTATGCTATTTAAGTTACATAAGGTATGTAACTTAAGTCAACATAGCTTAGATCAACTTACAGCGGTGTCTATGTCACGCTATGTCAACGGGAAACACTCTCCTGCCATCAACATAACTTCGGCCTCTCAGGGAGGTGGAGTACTGAAGGCGAGGGGAGAGAGCTCTCCCATCAACTTATGTTTTCACCAGACCTGCTAAAAAGAACAAGAAGCAATAGGCTTAAATTGCAGCAAGGGCGGTTTAGGTTGGACATTCCTAACTGTCAGAGATGTTAAGCACTGGAATAAATTGCCTAGGGAGGTTGTGGAATCTCCATCATTGGGGATTTTTAAGAGCAGGTTAGACAAATACCTGTCAGGGATGGTCTAAATAATACTTAGTCCTGCCTTGAGTGCAGGGGACTGGACTAGATGACCTCTCGAGGTCCCTTCCAGTTATATGATTCTATGAAATCGATGCCTGCTGCATTGATTGCAGCGGTGCTGATTTAGCTCATAGTGAAGACAAGCCCTTATCCTTAATGGCTTTGAGGGAAAACCTGACAGCATGATGTTCCGTGGCAGATTGAAATGCAAGATAAATTAGGCAACAACAGTTTAAACTTTACAACAGGAGCACACAGGTTTGTATTCTTTAATTAAAAGTTAGCTGAAAGAAAAGTTAAAGAAAAAAATATTGTAAACAACTGTGTACGTTTTTACCATCTAAGTAAATTTTAGAATAAACCCACTTTCCTCTTAATAGTCACAAGCAGAATTCAAGGTTTCATGTTTCTCCTACAACAGTCGAGAACATAAAACATTCTAGAGCAGCACAGGCATATCAGCTCTCTGAGCTGTTTGTATATTACTGGTATATTATTCCTACAACTCTTGTATGAGAAAGATAATTCTGATAAAAAATTATTAAAATTAGTAAGAAAATAAATAAAACAGTGATACAAATTCTGAAACTCTCTCAGTCAAGCCTTACAGCTAACGAGTGTTGAACACCCAGCTATCAGCTGATGGACTAAATATGCTACCTAGTCCACCAATGTAGAAGGCGCTAGAGTTTATGAACACAATTCCAAGATCTACAAGCCATGTGATTGCACAATGGTAATTATGCAGCAGTGTTACCCTTAAAAACGTACAGAATCAAATTTTAGAGTTCACATATTTTAAACTCCTTGGAAAAGGATATTTTTGTTTTGCAATTTTTTAAAGATACTCTTAATTCTAAATGCTGTTTTAAAGAGAGACATTTGTGGTCCTAAAGACACCAATCTGTCCCATTTAATTGATAAAACAATGACGTTAACCTTAAACCTGAAGTAAAATTCAGAGTTTCTCTAACAGTCAACAACAGAATTTCGGGGAGGATGCCCTCCTGCAAATATCGAACCAACTGCCAGATTTTATTAGATGATACCATATTCCTAGACTTAAAGATCAAAGAAATTCAAGACAGTCCAAACATACACACACATTATATGTCAAAAGACAGACTTCCCAATAAGTTTTAATAGGTTGTGACTACAGAAGTAAAACTGTTTGGTACACTGGTGCCCCACTCCCTCACACACACAGAGCAGTGTCTGTATATGTTCTTTTTTAGTTACACGATTTAAAAAGATAACACTACATAAATTCTTTTACATTCATATAATGGTTGATTTGTGTACAGAAAAATTGACCAATATTAAAATGGTTAATTCAACGTAATATTTACAACTTACATAGTCCTTTGCACACATTAGTCTTCAATAATCCTCTGAGGATATTATCATTTTACACATTTAGAAATTACAGCAGAGTTTAAATGGTTTACCAAAGGCCATACAATGCGTGGCAAAACCAAGAGTAAAATCCTGGCCCCACTGAAATTAAGGCAAAACTCCCACTGACTTAAATGGAAGCCAACATTTCACCCTAGGATAATAATTTGTGCTCATTCTTCTAAACCATGCTGCCTGTCCAACAACATGCATTCTGTATGGGACTGTATATGAATATATTGTTCTATGTGGATTATTAAAACAACCTTACAATTAAATTTTAATTCTTGTTAACAGAATTCTTACCTCAACAGGGTGATTCAGATTCCAGACAAGATTAAAGAGCTAGCTACCTATGAGAAACTGTCTCATACACCTCCACCAATTTACAGTTTAGAATAGATTAAGCAAATTAGGAATTCCAGCTTTTACACTAAAAGGTGTTATTCAGCAGTTTCTATTTATTTTACACGGATTTATTTTCTGTATGCTGTGACAAGGAAAACATTTTAGGTCTGGGAGGTCTCTTCAAAACATAGGTCCTGATCTTGCAAAGACTCATCATGCACATGAGTAACTTTATGTAGTGTGAGTAGTCCCACTGAAGCCAATGGAGTACAGTTTCTAGGATAAGGAACTTAGTTTATAGATGAAGAGATGACTATTTCAGCCACCTTTTTTTTTTTTTTGGGTGGGGGGGGCAAAGTGGGGTTAATGGCATGAGGTGTTTAATCTTATATATGACAGTATATTTATTTGTTAACTCCATCTTCTTGAATAACAAGTAAAACATAACAATGAATCACATATCTCCCCGCTATAAAACATTATGAAGAAAACATGCTATTCAGTACTCTTAAGACATTTAAGTTTTAATTATAATTCTTTACTCTACCTTGTTCTAAATTTAGTTTGTGTGCTGTAACTCCATCATAACAAGATAATTTTCAGTATATTCCCCAGTCCCAGGTGCACTCTCTCTTAAAAGGGCTAGCCACTTTCTGAAACTCACATGCCCACGTTCCAAGAGCTGTGTTCTGTACAGTTATTAGTCACAGACTAGCTCCCTTAAAGAAGAGGATCAATTTTTAGATCAACAATACCAACTTCTTTAATGACAGGATATTAAAGCCATGCTATTTCAGCAAGTCTCAGAAAGTTTGAGGAACCACAGCTGTTTTTTCTAAATACAAAAGTACACAAATTTCCACTCTGTTGTTATGGCCAGTCACTGCTAATTCTTGTTTGCACCTGACCATGGACTCTAGGCTTCACAGAACTGAGGCTGAGTAGAATAGGAACAGTAAAAGCAGTGAAGCTCCTACCTTTCCTGTTTTTGCATCACCCCTAAATGTTTTTCTGTTTTGAGTCTTGTGATATTCTTTCTTCCTGCTTCTCATACACTCAGAGAGAATAACAGACCGATCAGGATTAATGAAGGTGACCAAACCAGAAGGTAGGAACAGTACAGTAGCCAAACAAATTTACGTCAGGTTTTAATTCTGTGTTAGGTTTTCAAATTAACCTTCACTGTCAGTGTTAAGTTTAAATTTAAAGATAATTCAAAGTCCTCAAGGTAATGCTTTCCCCCACCACACACAAACCAAAAAGCAACTCTCTCAAGTGTTCAGAACTTACCAATAGTTGAAAATTGTTTTCTTTAGTAAAGATAAATGCCACGAGGTGTCATGGTACACCATACATGTTTTAATGAACAGAGGGAAAGCGTTTCTGATAACAGGCTTTGGAAGGTTCATCAACTGCCCTGTAACTGGGAAGGAAGAAGAGAAGAAAAAATAATCTTAATTTTAAGAAATGTAAAAGTCAGTAAGTTTTAAATCAGGTATTACACACTGTGACTTCCACGTTCTTACAGGCAACAATTAAAAAAAGCCAAGCCTGGAAGTTGTCTAATAAGTAAACTAAAAGTTATTATTTAATAATAGAAAGAATGCATATACTTTAAACTGGTATACCTGTTAAATCATTCAAAATACTAATATATTTACCATCTCATGAAGAGAAATATTCCTGAAAAATTTCATAAAAAATGTCTAAAATCAGCTGCATAGGAAGCAAACTTTATTAAGTTGATTTTAAAATACTGATTATTCTAAAAATACTCATTCCGGTCTTAATTAAGGATTGTATACTATTAATAGATTACTAGATTAATAAATTAATGTGGTCAGCAGAACTCATCATCAAAGAAATCCTGAATTCAATGCTTCCAAGCCCCTTTCAATACAGGAACTGAATCTTTATAATTTTAAAGAAGTGGCCTCTATGTTATATAGAAGTTCCTTCTATCTGAAGTGTGATGCACTGCCAAAGAAAGGTATTTAAAAAGACATTGATATTATAATAAAACAGAATACAGTTACTACAGTAATCAGGCAAAGGAAAAATCTACAGTACAAAAACCTCGCACTTCTAGCACTCAGAATTACAGTGAAGGAAGCTGCCTAATAGTCTCAACAAACAATACGTCCCAAGGTAAGTACTGGTAATGTGAAAATTTTTAAAAATGTATTGTGAAGCATTTACTTTGGTGTTGTTATACTTTGCATTTCATTTACACCATCCATCCAAGCACCTCAATAGTCTTACCTAACATCTGCCCGCCCATGAGATCTCTCTAAAATGGAGATTTTGCGAAGGCAACTTAGTTGACAAAGATTAAAATGATCTGTTCAGTACAATGCAGGAAGTCTGTAGGAGACATGGGTTCTATTCCCAGACCTATTGAATCCTTCTTCCATTTAGACCAAATCACAGTTACAGGAAAGCACTGCACAAGGACACTAAATTAACTGCTGCCCTTTAGCAACCTGAGAACCTTCTGAAAAAATAGCAAGGATATGAAAAGAAGTACAACCAATACCTAACTGAACTTAAAGAAGCGGCTTTTTTTTTTTTTTTTACACCAACACAAAACTTAAACAAACACAAAAATTACTTAGCCAGAACCTCTGTATTCCACTTGATAACACTGCTGATACTTATGTCTGGATGGCATCCTCCCTCACAGCCCACTAATTAAATCAGTCTTTTGTGACATTAGAAGTTACCATGATCTATAAACCTCTTGACTTCAAAATGCTTCAGTGTGAGAATACAATGTAGAACACAATTTTCTACTTATTATTTCTCCTCTCATCCCCTCTCTCTGCATTCCCTTTGTACTTGCCTTCTAATTCATTTCCTCGTGTCCTCCCATCTCTATTCATTCCCCTCCCTTCTCTCCATATCCTTCCCTCACCCCCATGCCACAGGAATACTGCTTATATATAGCTCTCATCCTGCCACATCTCTGCTCCCTCAGACTGTAACCTATGTAGCAGAGACAGAACAACAGCTCCAACAGTGCTCACACCACTGGGGCTTGCATCACAGAGGAAAAAACAGAAATTAGCAAATAAAGCATCTGAAAAGCAGGATACCTTATAGGATGCTTGAGAAGTATGTCAAGCCCCCAAAAGCAGGTCAAAGAAGAGCAAGCACCCTAGCAGCAATCTCAGCATTAGAGACTGTATCTCACCGGGTATTGCTCCTAAAGAGTGAGATCTCCTCACCCTTCTTATTGTTTTTTGGCTGTTTGGTTTAGTACACTCACTATGGGATGTCTGACAAAGTTTCCAAGCTCAATGTGAAAAGGGGTGGGTGAAAGAAAGAGGAAGAATTATGAGACATTAGAGAAGAGAAGTATGGAATTGAGAAGGCTTTTGCAGGAGACATGGGAGAAAAACAAAATGTAAAAGTTGAGGTAGAGAATTTAACATAAGTTAAGGAAGTTATAAGAAAGTCAAGGATGATAAAAGAAAAAGAGAAAACACTGCAGAATTAAATACACCATGTTTGGTGTTTTGTGGATGATCTGTTTTTGTTATTTATGGTAACTTATCATAGACAAATATCCCTTTCTATTTTTATTTTTATTTTTTGGGGGGTGTATAAACCTAATCTAAATCCAATAACCTATCACAAAAAAAAAGGAAACGGAATGAAACCAAGAAGAATATGGTGATAGTAAGTTAAGATTTTTTTTAAAAATTGTAAATAGAAAACTGTTTGACAACACAGTTCACAACCATTTCATTATTTAAAACATCGGGGGCATAGTTCTGAAGGGTGTGGCAGCACAAGTATTTTTCATCCAGGCTATCTGGTTTAGTCCCCAAATTAGCTGGTATTGGGAGAGCTTTTTCTCAAGTACCACACAGACACACACACACTAATCAATCCTCATGCTTCAGCCAGCCAGGGTCAGGAAGAAGTTTCTCCCCATGCTATAGTACTGCACAATTAAGATTTTGCATCTTCTCCTCAAGCATCTGATATCAAGCACCAAGAGCAGTTAATGGACGAAAGATCAACTGCCTATTCTGGTATGTTTTCCGGACTCTACATTGCTCAACTTGTGACAAAGAGAAGACTGGCTTGGATGGAACAAAGCAGATCATTTATATCCAAAGAGCTTTAGTAATAACATAAAAAATTGTGAAAGGTAACTGGGTATGTGTGGAACTACTCTCAATTATAACTATTCCTCAGTATGTGAACCCCTGCTCAGTTTGCTAAGTACAGTCAGTAGCTAAATTCTTGGCACATATACCCTGCCATTCTAGTTACTAAGCATATTTCAGCACATACACCAGTGAGTAACTGTATGTGTAGAATATTTTAGACTTCTTTGCTGCCCCTAATCTGGAAACTCCCATCCCAACCTCATTATATAAGTGAATTTTAGGTATACTAATTATTCATATTCATTATAATAAATGTATAAGATAAAATAATTGAACAGGAACAAACCCCATAATAATATGGGTACGGAGTGCAGGTATGCATATATTTAAAGGGAAACTTCAAGTACCTACTGTCACTCTGCAAGTACCTGTAACTTTTCAACTATCTACTGCACATATCTACAGACATATTGCCCATTCTTGTGCATGCATGCATACACACACACACACACACGTATAATCAAACTTCTACCATAAAGCAGACCATGGTTCCATCTAACTAGAATTCTGTCAGTGATCCCATCTTGTCAGCAAAGAATTCAAGAGTAATGAAAAATCCACACTTCAATTTAAAAAAAACTAATGTTTCCTAAAGGCGTGCTTCGGTAAGAAAATTACAGCTGTAATTTCCTCTAACTATATTGCTGATGACTTTAAAGAAGAATGAAATACAAGCCTCTTACAGAAATATACCAAAAAGTGTTTGACAAACGAACCCAAAATTTCAGACTATTTTGCATTAAGTAATTAATTAAGAATACACATGCTGCATGCTAATATAACACACTATCTATGGATTTGGAAGCCCTTTAAAGAGGTGGGTAAGCATTAGCATCCCCATTTTACAGATGGCCAAAGATATACATAGAGATTATGTGACTCGCACACTGAGTCATTAGCGGAGGTGGGATCAGAACCCAAATCTCCCAATTGCTATGCAGCCAGATACATCAAGGCAGCATCAGATAAGTAATTTAATACTTTGGGCTGTGGGAGTCAAAATTCCTCTCTCCCCTGCCCCAAGACTGATAGAACACCAGTGGCAATTAATACATTAGAAGGTCTGGGGAATCTAGTAGATTGGGAAATAAGAACTAGCCAAGACCACCAGAGAATATTCTTTTGATACAAACCCCCTAAAACAATGGTTCGTTAAAAAGTTAACACCGGAAATATGTTCATGTCTATATCTTAATGTAAACAGCATGAAATATCACAGGCATCATTAAACAACCAGTATCATCACTGCACTCTAAGCAAAAATTATGCATCCCACAACTTTGTTAGGCCCTTTTTATTGTATCTGCAATTTACAGACAACCACACAGGACATTTTCCATCATCATTAATGAATTGTAAGATACGTAAGTGTTAGAGACATACTGTACAAGTACACTGCACATTCAGAAAGTTTAAGGTAGGTCAGCAGTAAACTGACAACAAAATAAGAATGTTATATTAATCCTTTTGTGTAAAGTGTCAGAATTTTCTGCTGTAGTTTGTTGCCAGTAATGGACAGAAACTGCTGGCTCCAGGGAATTACAATGAACATAAGGAATATCCATTAGAACAGCAGGTAGCTGTTCAAAGATTTAAACTAAGCCCTCTCCTTACCCCTTTGTTTGCCCATTAAACTAAGCATGTAGGAGTAAGGAAAACCCATGTGAGTGCTTCACACCAGAGCAAGACAGTTCAAAATACATCATGGAGTGCTCTAGAGTAGCTAGTTAACACAGGCATAAATAGTCACTGAGAAAGAAGCCTTAGAAAAAGTTGGGCTGTTGCAAGAAATATTAACTAGGAACAAAAACGTGGATTGGATGGTAGTCTTCACCTGGCAGGACAGGAAACATTTTGTTAAAAAATGTAAGCATATGTATATAATAGATCAAAATGGGTGTTTTTAGGAGAAACTTCAACTGGGAAGAGAAGGCAAGGCAAAAATAGTTTCAAAATATACCCAATCCCACATCAATGCAACACCGTGCCAGAGCATGAATGAATATAGAAACGGTAAATAACAGACTAAAAACCTCTCTTTTTTTTTTTTTTTTTTTTGGGGGGGGGGGGGGGAACTACTTGCCAATCTGGTTTTCCTCTAAGCTTTCTAATTATAAATGCCTCTTGCATAGAAGAACATATCCACTGCTGTACAACTGTCCCAGAAAAAACATAGACCATGGGGAGAAAGTGGCCCATTTTCTTTAGTCTCTAAGAATCATGTGTACAGGTTATATTTTCAAAAGTTCCACTTAATAAATGTATATCACCACATTAACAGAAGTTATATTATATGGCTTTTAAAATATGAAATTGTAATTTTCACTCTTGAAGTCTGTAAAATTTACTCTCAGTTTTGCATATAGCACTATAAAAATATAAAAACTTTATTTCCATCACTTACATGAAAACTAAATGTAAATGAAAGTGACTGGAATCTAAAAAGATGCTATTTTATTGCAATAGTGAGGCTAGAATCAGAAAAACAAAAAAAATATATAATTTTCCATTTAAATTGCAATTAACCCATTAGTCTATCAAACCAAAACATAATTTTCAGGACCATGCGTATGAGAATTCCAGCAAATACAAATATAAATATTGTTATGTAGTTCCCAGCATGGCCCATGGGGCAATCTTCTCTATCAGCTTCTATTTTAGCGCCCAAAAACACCTCAAAGTGAGAATTCTTCACCACATGTTGAAAATGTTGTGACTAATAATACACTTCTCCTCCCATTTTTTCCATCACTAAAAGGATTTCAAAATAAAGAACTTGACAAACCATGGTTAAATTCCATTACTTTGAATTCAAATCAGTAAAGCCAAATTTAATCCACAATCAAAAAACTTGCCATAAGAAGTGAATGCATCTTCTTTTAACTCTTGCAATAATAGTTATGATGATATACAATATACAAGAAAAAATTCAGTACAAGTAGAAAAAGTATCCAGTAACTGCAAGCTTCTTCTGTAAAATTACACCCTCATTTTTGTCCGTTTTTTAGGTCACCTAACCTTGTTCTTTCTTTCAATTACTGTTCTCTTCCCCCTTCTCTCCCCGCCATCCTCTCTTTAGAAAAAGTCCCTTTAAGGTAGGTAATTTAACAAAAATGGAACTAGACAGAAAATTTAAACATGTAATAAACATTTTGTTGAGGACAAGAACTGGGAGCTAGACCCATACTAAATTAACTAAATGTAAAAAATGATAGAAGGCAATTAATATGCATGTAAGAACTTCCGTACAGGTGTCTGCAATAGCACCCTTTGCAAAACACATATGCTAATTAGCATATCTTTAAACAATGCTGATAATAATCTTGTCCCTATAATCCATGCCAAATGAATCACTCAGATTGTAAAACAGAAAGCATGTGGAAAGTCATTAAAAGTCTCTGTTAAACCTTTCTTTGTTTATATTTTCCTTGGCAGGTGTAAAAAATAAAATATTGTTCTAGTTATTCGGATTTCTTCAAAGTGTTCACTTAAACATTTTAACACAGGTTCTTTAATGGTGCATTAAGTATCAACATTTTTTTTTCCTATCAAAGAGATAAATCCTCCCACTAAAATCTGCTCCATTCTCTATTTGTCATCTGGGATTGAGTTATCAGACACTACTTGTATTACTTTGTGAAACTGTCACGTCTATTTACAGGGATACAAAGGCAATCCAATACTACAACCCCTTATTTTACAAGCACCTTCCAAAACACCTCTTCTCTCCCCCCTATTTTTACAAATACTTTGGTTTTTCAATGGGGTGGGAGAGGTTATGCAAAGTAGTTTTTCACCTTGACAGAAAACAATTTCAGTCACTTTTGCACTTGTTATAAGTATATTAAAAATCACCTACATCTCCAAAGAGGAGAGGCATTGTTTTTCAGGGGGTTTTTGTTTGTTTGTTTGTTTGTTTTTAAATAGGGTCACTTCCCCCATTTCAGCCTGCAATTAAAATGGAGGCAAGGCCAGGCGATCTGTGTCTGGCTTTAGGGGGAGACAATAACCCAAAACAGGCCTGGCTTTAAAAAGAGAAAGAGAGAGAGGGAGAGAGAGAGAGAGAGAAATACAACATGCTTCACCAGTATTATTACCTCATCCCTTTTTCCAAGCAGTTTTGAACCACACTCTTGACAAACTCTTGGTCCAACTTGCACAGATGCTGATTTTTTGGGGGTGGAAAGGTTTTTAATTCTGGAGCCAGAATTCAGGCTTGTTATTTGCAAGTGGAGCTGCTGTTAAAATGCCCCCTTGTCTCCTCTCCTCTCCCTTGAGCTGGGTGTTGACGCAGCAGAAATTACCAGCTGGAAAATTCCCCTTTTGGAGGTTACAGGGAGGGGGGGGAAGAGGGAGGAGGAGGGGGGACGAGTCATGGGGGAGGGGGGGTTAAACCCTGCCACTCACCTAGTTAACCCATCCACCCACACCAAGTCAGTCAGGCGTGCCAAAAGGGGCTCCATGCCCCTTCCACAAAGGGAACATTTCCCCCTTTCCTCCCCACCGAGTGTAGTGGGCTTAGCCCAGCGGCCCCCGGGGGCTCAGAGAGGTTCAGGGAGAGAGAAGAGTGTTTACCGGCCAGGGGAGACATTTGGGCTCAGACAAGCTCCCCACCGTCAGGACCCCCGCACTTGGAATCGCGGCACTGACACCCCCACCCCGCTGTTACCCCACTCCCGGTAGGGGGAGGGAGCAGCACTCCCCCGACCCAGCCAGGGAGGGGGTGTCCTCGGCAGCGTGTGAACCAGGCTTCCAGCGACGGCCCCCCTGTGCTGCCGGGTAACTGCCTCCCTCATCTCCTTGGGGGGCGGGGGGGGCGCCTCCGCCAGGCCAGCGCCGCCCACCCCCGAAGCGCCGCGCGACTCCCGTGCTCGCCCCCCCCGCCCCTAAGTGAAGTGGGGGCAGCTACCTCCCTAGCCAGCCCCCCCCACCCCGGACGACGAGCGGCTCGTCCTCCCCATCGCCCCGGGGGCGCCGGGCGCCCCACCGGACACCCCCCCCCTCCAGCGGGACGCGTCGCCGCGCTGCCCCGGGACCCCGCCGAGCCGGGGGGAGCGGCCAGTCCCCGGGGAGAGCCCGGAGCCCCCGGCCAGGCTGGGGAGGGCAGGTCGATGGGCGGGGGGGGGGCGGCGCGAATCCCTCTCCCCTGAGGGGCCGGGAGAAGCGGAAAGAACGGGCTGGGGGGGGGCTCAGGCCCCCTCCCTTGACCGGGCCGGAGAGGAGTCCCACCGGCCCCTCTCCTCAGGGAAGGGGTCAGCGGGCAGCCGTGCCGAGCCCCCGGGGTGAGGGGGAGCCTGGCTGGGGGGGTCTCGCTTACCTGGGCCCCAGGCAGGGGAGCGGGGTCTCGGAGCGGCCGGAGCTTTGGCTCCTTCGGTCACTCAATGTCTCTCCTCACGGGTGGGGATGAGGGGGGGGAAGCTGGGGGGGGCGGGGCGCGCTCCCGCCGCTCCCCCTGGCGCGCGCTCCCAGGCGGCGGGCGCGCGGGCGCGGGCCCGAGACCGGTGAGGGCGGGGGCGTGGCCTGAGGGACTTGTGCGGCCTCCCCCCCGCCCCTGCTACGCTCCCACTGGATGACGCCGGACACAGGCCTCCGCAAGCCCCGCCCCCTCGCCCCGCCCCCTCCCGGCTCCCTTGCGCCCGCGGATCGGGGGCGCCGCCAGCCAGAGGCACTGCCGGACACCGGAAGTGAGGGCAGCGCGCTGAGCATCATGGGAGGCACCCCCAGAAGGGGGTGGGGTGCGCGGTGGAGCGTTGGCCTTGCCGGGGGGCTGCCGGCCTCCCGCGAAGCCCCCCCTGTGCCGGGGCTCTTGAGGTGCCCCCTCGGGAGCAGCGCCTGGCCCGCAGCTGCCCCAGCCCCCGCAGCCAGGCCCAGCGCCCCTAGACGCCCCCAGAGCGCCTGGGGGCCTGGCGGGTTCCGCTGCCGGCCCCCGCGGCGGGTTACTGGTAAAGGTCGGGATATTAGGGGTCGCGGGCTATTAGCGGGACGGGCTGGGTGAGGTTAGTATCTTTTATGGGGTGACCTTCTGTGTGTGCCCATAGGGAGATTCTGCAAGCTACTCTCTAAAGGAACAGGGGGGCTTGCGGCGCCTTGGAGACTAACCCATTTATTTGAGCACAAGCTTTCCTGAGCGGAAGTGAGCTGTAATGCTTATGCTCAGAGAAATGGGTTAGCCTCCAAGGTGCCGCAAGTCCTCCTGTTCTTTTTGCGAATCCAGACTAACACGGCTGCTGCTCTGAAAGCTGCTCTCTGTACTTTATTCGGAGTGGTAGCTGTGTTAGTCTGTATCAGCAAAAACAAGGGGGAGTCCTTTAGTTACACATGAAGGAGGGACAGCTCTTATGAAGGATAAGCTGTTCCCCAAGAACAATACAACCATGCTCACTTCAGAGACCCCTGCCTTCAATGGGATTGCAAGTGGGCAGCTGTGGGTCTAATAGAGATCATGGCAGGAAGTCAAGAGAATTGGATTCGATCACTTTGTCACCGTAAAATGGAGATAATGCTTACTCGTTTATGTCGGATGCCTTGAGATCTGCAGCTGAAATACATTATATAAGTGCCAAGTATAACTGATAACAGGGCCAAATTTGGCCCTTTGACGATAACGACCGAAAGATCAAAGAACTGGACTATATTTCATGGGAGTGAGCTAACAGATTTAGAGTATGCAGGACACCACGCTTTTGAGATGGCTTTAACAGGCAAGACAATGGGTCTCTGAAGCCTGTGTTGTTGTGCAGTTGTACTAGGGCACAATTTAGCCGGAAAGATGTAGAACCAAATATTCCAGGTATTTAAGTACATGCACTTACTGTGATTATGCACACAAATTGGGTAATTATGTATGCAAATAACTGGAAGTGGCTGTTTATGAGCAGTTATCTGATTTCTGTGTGTAACCTCAGCAACTGCACAGAATTGTGTGCCTAAGCTCTGAGAATCTGCTCCCTAATTTCCTTTTCCTCAAATCATGGTACATATAAGGTCACTTATTGAGATAGACTGTTTTCCCCATGCACACAGATAGTGGGTCAAATGCAGCCCAGGAGTAAAGAGAATCTATTCCTCTGAAGTCAGTCAAATTACACCACTGCTCCTTACTTAAGTGCAGTCCTAAAAGGATCTTTTGATCCCTAGTATGTTTTAAAGTGGATGAACAGTTGTTCCAGCATGTCTTTCTTCCTACTCCATCCCACCCCCCAAAAACCCAAACAATTTTATTTTAGAAAAAAACCCCAATGCAACTAATTAATGAAAATGAAATGTCTTCACTCCAGTATATTTTTCAATTACCTTTTCTTCTGTATTGCTAAAGGAGTCCAACTACCATCTTCCAGGAAAGAATTCCATTAAAATGCAAATGAACAGTTTGCAGTAGTTGTCTATGTATGCAGTGAAGGGCACAATTCTTAGTTTAAGGAATACAAAATTAAAAGTAATGGGCCTTATTTTTAGACCTCAGCCTCCTTTTATGTAAACCCAATCTTGTGCGTGTGCACATCGCTGCACATTCAGTTGAAATTCACCTGTGTGCAGGTGACAGAATTTTAACACACAAATCCCCATTGTCCATGTTAAATTATCTGATGGGTTTTACATGTGAACATATCCTCACATGTACATACAGATACTAGAATATTTCCACTGTGGTTGCAGCCGTTGAATGCTTTAAAGCTGAATCCTAGTGCCTACAATTACAGGTGCACAAGTGGAAGCTGGGTTGTGGGGGAGGAACACATTAAATCAGGCCATATAACTATAGCTAAGTATGTTTGTAACACTCTGTGTTATCGATAGGTAAACCACCCTATTATTCCTTTCCTGGTCTCTTCTCTTTCCAAGACTCCTCTGATTCCAGGCAGGAATTCCCCTATCACCCCTGGACTCCTTCAATTCCAAACATGCATGCCCTAGTTCTACCCCTACTCAGGATTTCTTCCTCCTCTCTTTGTTAGAGGAAAGTATTTATTTATTTAGTTGTGTGTGTCATGCTGGACTCACTCCCCCATGAGCTGCAGCAGCTGCAGACTGGGCACTGCCCTGGGGAATGCTTTCAAAGAGGGGGAGGGTGGAGAGAGGCTGAGTTTCCTGAAGCTGCAGAACACAAAGGGCTGGGGAAAGCTGGAAGGGTTTAATACACTTGAGCCTGTATTTTGCTGTGTAGAGATAGGTTTTTGTTTGTTTGTTTGTTTTCTTTTGATTAGCAGTTTGTATTGCAGTTTAAGTAAGTATGCAATTACACAATCTGTCCTCAGAAGAGGGGAAGCTGCTCCCCAGAAAGAAGGAAAGAACTGACAGTGGGAAAAGAAGAGAGAAGGAGAAAGGAAGGTAGAAAGGGAGGATGGTGTTGTTAGGGTGACCAGATAGCAAGTGTGAAAAACTGGGATGGGGATGCGGGGGGTAATAGACTCCTATATAAGACAAAGCCCCAAATATCGGGATTGTCCCTATAAAAACAGGACATCTGGTCACCCTAGGTGTGGTCCAAGAGGTGTTTGCTGAATGAAGAGCACGTCACCTGGAAGCATGATACAGAGTTTAATAGTGTGTAACATTGATGATATATGTCAAGGATTAAAGACCACAGGGTTTTCAGACTGAGTGTAACTCTTCTGTATCCCACCTTTCCAAGGCTGCCAAATCACAAAGCTCATAAATCCAGACCATATGCCCAGGGACATTGAGGCTTCTATCTGCAGCCTTCGTTTTAGCACTGAAGAAGCATTTAGAAGTCACATTCTTGGGAGCAGTTCTCTTGTGATAAGGAATATATGAACACTTTAATGCATTCATATTTGCATGCTTACTCTACATAGACAGTCATCATATGGGCATGTGCAAATGCTGAGCATCTATTCACAATAACTGTGTACACAAATTAGGCACACACATTTTTGCACATGGTTTCTGGGAAACTGAGGTACAGGGCTACACGATTTGCCTGTTTTCACAGAATGATTCAGTTGCAGGTCCCATGAGTACTTCTCAAGTATCCTTACTCCCAGTCCCCTGCTCAGCTCTAGACACCTCTGTCCCCCTGTCTATCTATAAACCATAACAGACATTGCATTTGATAAATGCAAAGTAATTTCTTCTACCTCTGTAATTTTCCTAAATTCAGAATGAAGACGAAGACAAAATCCCAAGTGGCTGAATCACTCTTTTTCTCTGTGTTTTGTACCCTAAAATAGATGTCCAAAACCAAATAAGCATTCTGAGCTGACGAGCTTCTTTGTCAGAGTTCTCGTTTTCAAGAGGCCATTCTGACAGGGTTTTCCATGCACCCTACAAATGAATCCCAATCCTCAGACCCAATTCATTTCTGACCACAGTGGGAAGAAAGCAATTTGACTGGGACCCATTACTGCTCAACGTGGTGGTTCTGGTTGCATGAAAATTCCAAGACTCTCACCTTTTTCAGCCAATTTCCCTCCAAACCTCTGATGTCACAAGTAAGGGTTAAAGGACCTATACTCCTGTCCATATTACACTGAATCAAAGGTCATCTGGTTTCTTTGTCAGGGGACCATAACGGAAAAAAGGGAGGTGATGTGCATCCCTGACCAGGTCATTTTAGGAGTAAACCACATTTAAACTGAGCTCATGAAAAAGTATTTGTCTCTTTCTCTCACGCACAGACATACTCCCAGCCTGTGCTTGCTTGGTGAGTGAGAATTCCTTCTCTAGTGGGAGTCAACATGTCAATTGTATTTTTTTTCCATGATGTGTAAGGAGGCATTCACTAGGTTGTGGGAGTAAACACATGGGGGAATTCTCCGTGAGCTAGCAAGGGCAAGTCACAATCCTACTAAATATGGTGAATGAAGATTACAAAAACCCCAGGAGAATAAAATTCCCTCTCTCCACCCCCATCTCTTCCCCCCCACACACACTTATTTTTTCTCATTACCATGCTCTGCTGTTTAACTGCTTGAAAGTTAAATCTATTTCTATTTGTGTTACTAAATGCACAATGTTGGTTTAGTTTTATTCTGTGCACTGAAGGGCAGAACTGGGGCAATATGTTGTTTTTTTCATTATTAATCAAGGCACATCATTAGAGAGGAGCAGAAACACCAAGTATTCAAGTAGTGGGAAGCAACAGGAAATAGTCCTCAGGTTTGTAAAAACTCAAGGGGTGGGGAATGATGATCGTTTATAACATATTTAACCAGCCACATCCTACTGACCTCCTTCAGTGCAGTTCTTGAAAGGAACTGGCCTGACTCCGAAGATGTTTAATACTCCAAAAATACATTCCCCTCAAAATGTTGAATTTAGAGAGGGGCCCAAGCTGCAACATTCAGGTCCCACTGCAAATTCATCATAATCTGGAAGTGCTGAGTTCTAGGGTATTTGTTTGTGTCCATCTTTAGTTCAGACTGAGAAGCCAGTGGTCTTTTGTATGGATAACTTTGCTGTACCAACATAGTCTTCCTCTTACAGTCAATCATGTAAATGGTCTTTGCTTCCATTTTAAAAGCCATTTTGCATCAGGTTCACTTTCTATCTAATTTTATAC